TTCCTGAATACAGCACATCAATGGATCTTGACTTTTTATCCAATTTGTCAGCCTGTGTCTTTTGATTGGAGCATTTGGCACATTTACATTTAAGGTTAATATTGTTATGTGTGAATTTGACCTGCCATTTTGATGCTAGATGGTTGTTTTGCCTTTTAGTTGATGCATTTTTCTTCATTGTGTTGATGCTCTTTACAATTGGTACGTTTTTGGAGTGGCTGATACTGGTTGTTCCTTTCTATGTTTAGTGCTTCTTTCAGGAGCTTTTGTAAGGCAGACCTGGTGATCATGAAATCTCTCAGCAATTGCTTGTTCATAAGGGATTTTATTTCTCCTTTGCTTATGAAGCTTAGTTTGGCTGGATATGAAATCCTAGGCTGAAAGTTCTTTCCTTTAAAGATACTGAATATTGGCCACCACTACCTTCTGGCTTGTAGGGTTTCTGCCAAGAGATCTGCTGTGAGTCTGATGGGCTTTCCTCTGTGGGTAACTCAATCTTTCTCTCTGGCTGCCCTTAGCATTTTTTCCTTCATTTCAACCCTGGTGAATCTGACGATTATGTGCCTTGGTGTTGTTCTTCTTGAGAAATAGCTTTGTGGTGTTCTCTGTATTTCCTGGACTTGAATGTTGGCCAGCCTTGCTAGATTGGGGATGTTCTCTTGGATAATATCCTGAAGAGTGTTTTTCAGCTAGATTCATTCTTCCCATCACATTCACGTGAACCTATCAAACATAGATTAGGTCTTTTCACATAATCCCATATTTCCTGGAGGCTTTGTTCATTTCTTTTCACTCTTTTTCCTCTAATCTTGCCTTGTCATTTTATTTCATTGAGTTGATCTTCAGTCTCTAATATCCTTTCTTCTACTTGATTGATTTGGCTATTGAAACTTACGTATGCTTCGCAAAGTTCTTGTATTGTGTTTTTCAACTCCATCAAGACGTTTATATTATTCTCGCTGTTTATTCTCATTAACATTTCATCAAACCTTTTTTCAAGGTTATTAGTTTCTTTGCATTGAGTTAGAACATGTTCTTTTAGCTCAGAGAAGTTTGTTATTGCCCACCTTCTGAAGCCTGCTTCTGTCAATTCATCAGACTCATTCTCTACACAGTTTTGTCCCTTGCTGGTGAGAAGCTGTGATCCCTTGGAGGAGGAGAGGTGTTCTGGATTTTGGTGTTTTCATTTTTTTGCAATGATTTCTTCCCATCTTCATGGATTTATCTACCTTTGGTCTTTGTAGTTGATGACTTTTGGATCGGGTATTTCTATAAAGCTATTTCTTTCTGTTCTTTAGTTTTCCTTTTAAAAGGCCCCTCTGCTGCAAGATTGCTGGAGGTCCACTCCAGACCCAGCTTGCCTGGGAATCACCTGTGGGGGCTGCAGAACAGTAAGGGTTGCTTCCAATTTCTTCTGTTATCTTCACCCCAGAAGGATATCCACTAGATGTCAGCCAGAGCTCTCCTTTATGAGGTGCCTCTTTGGATATATGGGGGTTGGGGAGCCACTGGAGGAGACAGTATGTCCCTTATCAGAGCTCAGGTGCTGTGCTGGAAGCTCCATTGTTTCAATCAGAGCTGCTGGGCATGTACGTTTAAGTCTGCTGCCGCAGAACTCATAACTGCCTCTTTTTCCCAGGTGCTCTCTCCTGGGGAGGTGGAGCTTTATTTGTAAGTTCCTGACATGCTGCTGCCTTTTTTCAGAGTTGCCTGCCTGGCCAGGAGGTAGTCTAGTCACAATCTGGCAGCAGAGGCATTGCTGAGCTGCTGTGGGCTCTGCCCAGCTGCTGTATAAACTTCCTTGCAGTTTTCTTTACAGAGGTACAGTTAGAACTGCCTTGGTAATGGCAGTCTGCGTCAGTAATTGCAGACTTCCTCAGTAATGTGGACTGCCTCAGTAATGGCAGACTGCCTTGGTAGTAGCGGACTGCCTTGGTAATGGTGGACGCCCTTCCCCATATCTAGCTGGACCATCCCAGGTCCCCCTGTGCTTGCTATGAAACTCTCAATCCAGAGCATTTCAGATTGCTGGTTTTTGTGGGGGTGGGACCCACCAAGCCAGATCACCTGGCTTCCTGTTTCAGCTCCCTCTTTTTCAGTTGAATGGGCATCTCTGTCTCCCAGGCATTCCAGTCACCAGTTGAAATCACTGCCCAGATTTGTGTTTTTGTGCAGACACCCATGGCGCCAGCTGAAACAGTCATGCTGGAAACTTCATGGTGCTTTTTTGGCCCCAGAACCTCCTGGTCTGTGGGTGGTAAAAACTGCAGGAGAAGCACAGTATCTGAACTGGAGTGCTGGAGTGGATGGAAAAGTCCCTGATGGCCTCCACTGGGTATGGAGGGGGGTCCTCTGGGGATTGCACTTCCAGGGTGAAGCAGTGGCCTACCTTGCCTTGGCTTACTCTTCTTGGGCTAAACCCACTGTGTAAACAGCCCCATTGAGATGTACCTGATACCTCGTTTGGAAATGCATTGATCACTAACCCTCTGTGTTGCTTTTGCTGGGAACTGCACTAGGAACAGAGCTGTTTCTATTCAGCCATCTTGAGATAATTCTATTCTAAGTTGTTTGAGAAATCACCAAACTAATTTGCACAATGGCTGAACTATTTTACATTCTCACTAACAGTGCATAAGTGTTACCTAACATCACTAATCATGAGAGAAATGCAAATCAAAACCACAATGAGACACCATCTCACACCAGTCAAAATGGCTATTATTAATGCAGAATTTCTAGGTAAAACTTTACTTCTTCAGAGAACAAATAATTTGCATACACTTTGATATTTATTAAAATGTAGACATTGTGAGAAGCAATGTTTTTATTATGTGTTTTCCTCAATGCAGAATTGATTTATATCTATTCATTGCAGTAGATTCTTTTAATGCCCTCTTGATCTTCTTCTTGTCTCCATATCATCTAATTCAGGAGAAATTACCATAGAACCCGGTTATGTATAATTATGATTGAATCAGTAGCCTATAGGATGAATACATGAAAGCATTAAGGACATTATGATAATTTCAGGATTCGGCCAACCATTCCTCTAGGTAGACAAGCCACTGCTGAAATTTTCATCTGTACCATGCAACCCTGTTTTTCTGCAGTTAATGTGGAGGCTGTAAACTGATCATGTCAGGGAGGTATTTTAATGTGTTCTCTATCTCTGGATTCCAGATAGTACTTTTTTATGCCAAACAAAACCCTGGTAGGCTGTCAAGAAAAAGTTCAAAAATCAAGAATGAAATGATTATATTTGCAATATGGTTCTTGAACATTATTTTGAGTTGCCGTCTAATAAAATTTGTACTACAAACGTTCAGACCTAAAAATAGTTTACACTCTTCAGTGCAGCTACAGATCTACAGTATGTAGAAACTTATTAACAGTGAATTCCAGTTGAAATTTTTTAAAAAAATTTAAAACTTCCTTGAGATACACATATTGCCACTTATTTCTGTCTGTGTTTTTTGAAAAAATTAAATAACGCTTTTTTTTTTTTTTTTTTTTTTTGATAAAATCCTAGGGCTTCCACTCCTGAGGAGCAAAGGAAGGAAATAGAATTCTGGGAGGGAAATAAGGATGAAGAAATTAAGTGAACCCAATTCCATGTCAGGTAATTCTCTTCCTTTTAAAAATATCAAATTGTGTATAGCATGAGTTTTTACTTTCTAGATGCCTTCTTTAAGATAGCTCTCTAAAACTTTGAAGAAAAACTGGATTTTTTGAAAGTTGCCTTTGAGAAATGTTCAGTTAAGTGAAATGTTATCTGATAAAGAAAGAAGATATATTTTTTCCAACTTTGCATATTAGCTAAAATGAAAAAAAGTGCAGAAGTTTGAGTTTTTATAGTTTGTTTTCTTTGCTTTCTTTGTAAATGTCTCATATCCTTATTTTTTCCTCTCATATATGTAATATAGTTATTAGCTATATAATGATGTTTAAATCAATGACAAACTGTATATACCATGGAAGTCCCATATGATTAAAATACCATATCTTTCTGTGCATTTTCTATGTGTAGATACAGAAATACTTACCATTGTGTTACATTTGACTGCAGTATTCAGAACAGTAACATACTATTCAGGTTTGTAGCCCATAAGCAATGATAGGTTCTGCCATATAGCCAAGGTGCATAGTAGGCCATAGCATCTAGATTTGTGTTACAACAATCTATGATGGTCACACAATGGTGAAAGTGCCTAATGACGCATTTCTCAAAATATATCCTGGTTATTAAGCAACACATGGTTGTAATCCATCTGGTCCTCCAGTAGATGTAATAGCTGTTGCAGTAAAAATAGTCACATCTATTGACACATATTTGACACAAAGGAAGAAACTGAAATTATTCCATGATCATAACCTGGAGACTACATAAGTTCTAACATATTTTAATAAGTTTTTGATATTTATATCTGCTCTTAAATGAATATGTATAAAGCATCAAGCGCTAAAACTTATAGCTAATCAGCTAAAAATGTTGCTATTATTTGTTTATGTTTATATTTTCAAAGATCTCTGAATATTTTGAACAAAAACTTGAACAAATCAAGAGCCTTTGCTTACTCTTACTTGACTATTCAATATCATAAAGATGTCATTTTTCCCAAGTTAATATATGAATTTCATATTAAAGTTTATCTTATGCTTGGATTTGATATTTATTTAAATTGTATATGAAAAAATGAACAATTCAGAATAATTAAGTAAACCCAAAAGAGAAGAGCAACAAGAGAGTAGTAGTCCTACTGTTATTAACACAGTCCATGAGGCTTCTTTGTGTAAAGCAGTGGTGCTGAGAATGCATTGATGAACAGGGAAGCCAAATAAAATAAAAAGTCATGGACATTTTGAATATGGTAAAGATGATATCTCAACTAATTGGGCAGAAAAGGGAATTTTAATAACGGGGTTGGGTAAAATAGATACCATTTGAAAAAGATTATCGAGTTCAATACTTCATACCATAGACTAGGATAATCCTAAACTGATCAGATATTTAAATGTAAAAATGAAAGTAACCAAGTACTAGAAGAAAAGATGGTGAGTTTTTCTATAATTTAGGAATGGCAGTTACTTGAACTATGACTCAAAATCCAGATCCAATTAAAGATAAGATTGGCAAATCAGACTCTTGTACTTAATAAAATTAAAAAAATGATATTTTTATGATAAAAACAAAAAAATAAGTAAAAGAACAAACCACATATTGGGAGGAAATATATGCAATTTACATGATAAAGGGCTAATCTTCCTAATTCATACAGAGGTCTTAAAAATTGAGAAATAAAGGCCAGGCACGGTGGCTCACACCTGTAATCACTGCACTTTGGGAGGCTGAGGTGGGCAGATCACCTGAGATCAGGAGTTTGAGAACAGCGTGGCCAACATGGTGAAACCCTGTCTCTACTAAAAATAAAAAAAAATTAGTCTTTGTTTGCTGTGTCCTTTCCTGGCTTTGGTATCAGGATGATACAAGCCTCATAGAATGAGTTAGGGAAGATTTCCTCCTCCTGGATTTTTTGAAAGAATTTTGCTTTGATTGGTACCAATTTTTCTTTGAATGTTTCATAGAAATCAGCTGTAAATCCATCTGGTCTTGGACTTTTTCTTGTGAGATTTTTAATTACTAGTTAAGATTTCTATTTCTTCCTGGTTCAATCCTGGGATATTGTAGGTTTCCTAGGAATTTATCCATTTCCTCTAGGTTTTCTAGCTTGTGAGCATAAAGATATTTATATAGTAGTCACTCATGATTTTTTGTATTTCTTTGGTAACAGTTGCAGTGTCTCCTTTTTCATATCTGATTATACTTGTCGAATCTTCTCTCTACTTTTCTTTGTTAGTATAGCCAGCAGAATCTCAGTTTTATTTATCTTTACATAGAGCCAAATTTGCATTTAATTGGTCCTTAGTTCTTTTTTTTTTTTTTTTTTTTTTTTTTTTTTTTTTTTTTTTTTTTTTTTTTTTTTTTTTTTTTTTTTTTTTGTCACTATTTCATTTAGTTCTGCTCTGATCTTTATTTCTTTTCTTATGCTAGTTTTGGGGCTGGTATGTTCTTGTGTCTCTAGCTATTTGAGATACAACATTAGGTTGTTAGTTTGTAATCTTTCTATATTATTTATGTAGGCATTTAACGCTATAAAATTCCCTCTTTGCATTGCTTCTGCTGTCTCCCAGAGATGTTGATGTGTCGTCTCTATTTTATTTCCATTTGAATAATTTTTAAAATTTTTATTTTAATTCTATTGTTGACCTAAAGATCATTCAGGAGCAGGTGGTTTAATTTTCATGTATTCTTTTAGTTTTAGGAGTTCCTCTTGGGATTAATTTCTAGTTTTATTCCATTCTGGTCCAAGAATGGACTTAATATAATTTTGATTTTTAAAAATTTACTGAGACATTTTTTGTGGTCTAACATATGACTTATGTTAGTGTGTTCTCACACTGCCAATAAAGACGTACTTCTAATAAAGACTGGATAATTTATAAAAGAAAGAGGATTAATGGAATCACAGTTCTACACAGCTGGGGAGGTCTCACACTTATGGCAGAAGGCAAAGGAAAATCAATGGGATGTCTTACATGGTGGTAGGCAAGAGAGCTTGTGCAGAGGAACGGCCCTTTATAAAACCATCAGATATCCTGAGACTTATTCACTACCAGGAGAACAGTATGAGGGAAATCGCCCCCATGATTCAATGATCTCCACCTGGCTCATCCTTGACATGTGGGGATTATTACAATACAAGTTAGGATTTGGTGAGGACACAGCCAAAACATATTCTGGGCTATCTTGGAAAATGTTCTATTTCACTAATGAGAAGGATTTATATTCTACAGTTTTGAGGTAGAATGTTCTGTAAATATCTGTTTGGTATAAATTCCTATTTAAGTCTAAGGTTTCTTTGTTAATTTTCTTTCCTGATGATCTGTGTAGTGCTGTTAATGAGGTTTTGAATTCCTCCACTTTTCTTGTATTGCTGTCTCCCTCTTTTCTTAGATCTAGTAGTAATTATTTTATGAATCTGGGTGCTCTGGTGTTAGGTGCATATATATTTTCCTTCATGTTAACTTTAGATAGTCTGGTGAATACATGCCTTGGTGAAGTCCTTTTTGCAACATATCTTCCTGGAGTTCTCTGAGTTTCTCATATCTGGACGTCTGGCTTTCTAGCAAGACAAAGAAACTTTTCTTCAATTATTTCCTTAAATAATTTCCAAAGTTTTACTTTTTTTCTCCCTCAGAAATACATATGAATCATAGGTTTGGACATTTTACATATTTTCGTACTTCTTGAAGGCTCTGTTATATATTAACCTTCTTTTTTCTTTATTTTTGTCTGTTGGTTAATTTGAAGGACCTATTTTTAAGCTCTAAGATTCTTTCTTCTGCTTGACCTAATACTAGACTATTTATTAATAGACTATTAATGTTTTTGACTGTATTTTTAATTCCTTCAATAAATTTTTGATCTCCAAAAGTACTTTTTTTCACATCTCTTTGATAAGCTTTTCATTCATGATCTGAATTATTTTTCTAGTTTCTTTGTATTAGTTTTCAAATTTCACCTGCGTCTCATGGAGTTTCTTTAAAATCGATATTTTGGATTCTTTATCTAGTATTTCAAAGATTTCATTTTTGTTAAGATCCATTGCTAGAGAGTGAATGTGATATTTTTGAGGATGCTGCAACACTATTTTTTCATACTTCCAGAATTGCCTTTCTGCTTCCTTTTCTTGTGGATAAACTGTCTCTCCTTATTATTTTAAAACGTACTTTATTTGGATGGATTTTATTTTCCCTTTGAGGATATGACTATAATGTATTTTGGGAACTCTCAGACACAGAAAACTGCATGCTTTTTTCTCCTTTGTCCCAAAGGTTGTCCCCTTTGGGTGCTGTACTTTCCCTTCCCTTGGGAGCTGCACTTCACAAGGGCTAGACCACTGGGAATCCTGCAGCTTCCCTGTGTGACTGCCACAATGGGTGGGTGCTAGGAAATATTTATGGGGGCTTTGATAAAGTGGAGACACAAGGGTTGAGGTTCTCTGGGGTGAAAACACTATCCCACTGATACACTCCAGCTCAGGTCTGTGGGAAGGGTGAATGAATCTCTGCATGCTGGTGGTCTGTCCTGAAGTATTCCCCAAATCACTACCTCCAGTGTTTGGATTTGTGGGGGTGGAAGAGCTCTCCCACAGTTTGGATACCAGTAGACTACTGCAGGGGTAAGCAAAGCCAAGAAGATGACTGCCACCTACCCTTTGACAAAATGTCAAGTCCCTTTGTTTCTTAGCCCATCTCTACCATGCTTTTGCTGTTGTGCTTTTTCTCTGTCCCACCTTCTTTCCGTGAATTCTCTTCTAGGTTCCAGCACTCTCCTCTTAATATTGTATTTCATTTATTTACCTAAAACTTTGGTTTTTCTTTTCTAAAGAAAACTGGTGTCTAATATCTCTACTCAACCACCTTGAAAATAAATCTTCCAATGTTAATATTACTATTAAATCTTCCAATATTAATATTACTATTAAACCTTTTAATCTTATTAATATTAACCAGATACTAGCTATTTTCTCAGGCTGATTCAACTGAAACCTAGGTCATGATGCCAACCTCTAAGCTGATAAATGCCATCTCACTAGAGAAGTGGATTGAGGCTAGAAGGAACTTCCATAATCAATGTGAGGCAGGTAAGCACAAAGGGCACCAGGAATTAATGAGCTGAGGTTTATACTGTTCCAAGGAGAAAGCAGGATTGAGCAGATATCAGCAAAAGTTAAATATAGTATGATGAACAGCCACCCACTAATTTCTTCAGGCCCTCAAACTTTTTTTGACAAATTTGACTGTTGGTTAGGAATCAAGTGATTAGTGAAGTAATCAGAACACAGGCTGTAGAGTGGTTTTTCTCAACAAAGACAAACTTGTAAACCAGGCTAAGAACAGAGAGGCCTTCACTGCTGACTGTGGTATAGGAGAGCTCCTAAATGAAAGCAGGGCAGAAGGTGAGTGGGGGAGTAGAAAGATTTTAGTGGGACATGCAAATGAGATACAAAGTAGAAATTAAGACTCAAGCGCTTCTTCCTCAAAGCTAGCACATTGCTAAGCACGATATATAGGACAGTCAAGGAAGTCACTCAGTGATAGAGTAATGCTTTATGCACACAGTAATTTCAAAAACTACTTGTCTTTTTCTTTTTTTTTTTTTTGAGATAGAGTTTTACTCCTGTTGCTCAGGCTGGAGTGCAATGGCGCGATCTCAGCTCACTGAAACCTCCGACTCCCAGGTTCAAGTGATTCTCCTGTTTCAGCCTCCCAAGTAGGTGAGATTATAGGTGTGTGCCACCATGCCAGGCTAATTTTTGTCTTTTTAGTAAAGACAGGGTTTCACCATGTTGGTTAGGCTGGTCTCTAACTCCTAACCTCAGATGATCACCCACCTCAGCCTCCCAAAGTGCTAGGAACACAGTACAGGCGTGAGCCACAGGCTTGGCCGCTGTGATTTTTTTTTTTTTCCCCTGGACATTTATGAACTCTTAAGAGAAAGGCTTTAAGAAAGGCATCTTGGCATCTTTAATTAGTGCTAACATTAGCCCTTTAACCCAGCAGTTATAATTACATGCGGAGATAGAGTAAAATTCCAGTAACCAATCAGCTTTCCAGTCCTCCATGCAGCCTGTTAAATGAAGGTGCTGCCAGAATGGGGTTTGTGCCCATGAGAAGAACCAAGAAGAGCCAGGCTGAGTCTCTTCTTTTCAGAAACTTGACCTTCAAGTAAATCACTTATTTTTCACCACGGTAAGAGGTTCAGGTCTACAAAAGGCTCTGAGATCACCCAGAATGGGAAATGGGCTTGCTACTTAAGTGTTTCCCAAATCAGCACCTTAACCCAACATTATATTTTCTGAAACATTTAAGGCTCCAAAAACATTCTTCACACACGCTTCCCTCTGAATTCTGTTTATGTAGCAGCACTTCCCTTCAATCCACATACTTGTGTGTTTTAGGGGAAGAAAAGGAAAAATCCCTCTGATGAGCTTATTTTTCAGTTTAGGTTTCATAATATTACCTTCAGAAAGTAACATATTGAAAAAATATTTTGGGTATTTTGGAAAGTAATTAGGTTTGGTAGAATAAAAAAAAATACTCTATATCTTTTTCCCCATAAGCTTGTTCTTAAGGAAAACTGGAGATTCTTGGACCTAGAGTCTCAGACATAGCAGTTGAAGCTGTGAGAGGATGTGACAAGCTACTGAGGAGACATAGCTGTTGGGCTGCGGAGAAGAAACAGCTCTGTCATGATAGTAAACTCCGGCAGGTTCCTTGGCTCCCAGAGGCCCATCCCTGAGCCATCAATCCTCTCAAACAGAAGCCACTTGTCACTAGCTGTTTACAGAGCAGGTCTGCACGGCCGAATTGCACTTCCAGGACCCCTGCTTTTTTCTGTTCTTCTTTTTCATTTCCTACATGTATTTTTCCCTTTTTAATCACTTCCTTTTTTAAATTACTCCTTTTGGTTATATTTTATTGTTCCTTTTAAAGGCTTACTACCTCCACATCTTGTCCCTCTGGAAGGTCTTCAGGGACAACAACATGCATGCATGGAGCTGTCATCTAGTATGATAACAACTTTTTGGAATACCTCCTAAAGGACCAGCCTGAGGCTGTTTTACAGTTTACTTTTTTCTACACTGGTAGAAGGAGTATACTCTAAAACTCTAAAAAAGCACTGAAAAGTATAGTATAATAAATACAAAAACCAGTAACATAGTTGTTGATTATCATTGTAAAACATTATGATTATATATAATTGTATGTGCTATAATTTTATATATTGGCAGAAAAGTAGATTTGTTTACATAAATATCACAATAATGTGAGTAGTGCATTGTGCTACATTATGATACCTATGATGTCACTAGGTGATAGAAATTTTTTGACTCCATTATAATCTTATAGAACCACCATCCTATACATAGTTCGTTACTGACCAAAACATTATGAAATGCAGGACTATACAACTATATACTATATATTATACACATATGCATATTTATATACATAAATATTACACACACAGAACATCATAGACTTCATTGGATTTGTTTTAAACAACAACTTCTGGGGTATCTACTGGATTTTTAAAAAACGGATTAGGAGAAATAATTTTGATATATTGGAGAGAATGCTGGGTTGAGGATCAGGAGCTCTGGTTCAGAGTATTGGTTTGTAATTTACTACCTATGTCAATTTGGGTTTAATGTTTAAGTTATTTGAGCCTTCATTTATTAAAGTACAAATTGGGAATAATAGTACATGTCTCATAGAGTTATCGTAAGGATTAAATAAGACAGTGTGTGTAACAGCATCTGGAAAACTCCTAAAATACTTTAAAAATTGAAGAGCACAAATAATTTCATTGATTTCTTATTAACTCAGCATTGTTAATTGAGTCACTACATCATATGTTTCTGTTCTTTACATTAAGATATACAGGTATACTCTATCTATCCTTTGGATATACTTTGGAGTCAAATCACATGAGCCTTTTAAATGTATAATAACAGCAATATGTATTTGAATGACTCAAAATATCCTAAAATGCTTCAGAGCAAAAATGTTATAATCAAATTATAAATCTTCTAAAATTTATTATCTATATAGTTAATAGATTACTAATTACTCTCAGCAGTTCAAATTATCAGACATTCTGAATAAATGTTGTTTTATCGTTACTACAGATAGAAAGCAAGTGAAATAAAGCATCTGTATTGAAACTGTCTGTGCTTTCAATACAGATGCTTTATTTCACTGGCTTTCTATCTGTAGTAAGCAGATATCTTTTGCCCATAATTACTAGATATCTTTTGCCCATAATTACCATGCTGTTTCCTGAGTGTCTATAATTGCTGAGTTGAATAATTGATGATCTCTTGTGGCAGAGCAAATTACCAAATTTAGTGGTTTAAAACAAAAATAATCACTATATTATTCCCTCTCATGGTTCTAGACATTGACTGAACTCAGCTCAATGGTTCTCCTTAATGTCTCTTATGAGGCTGTAGCAGAATTGGAGCTGGGATAGAGTTATCCGAATGCTCATACACTCACAGCTCTGGAGTTGAGCAAGGAAGTCTCAAGTCACTCTTGAAATAGTTGGTGCTCGTTGGTCATAGCTTTCTGTTTCTAGGTGTTTCTTCACATGTCTCCATTACACTGGCTTCAGGGTAGCCAAACTTTTACATAGTAGCTCAGGGATCAAAAGGTGCCTGTACAGGAAGTGAGAAACAGGATAGATGTGTCATCTCTAAAGACTTAGACTCATGCAGCATCACTCCTGACATATTCGGTTCATTTAAAGGAAATCATGAAAGCTGGATCATATTGAAGAGAAGGAAAATTAACTTCCTAATTTTGCTATAAAGTGTCTAAGAATCTTCAGCCAAGTTTTAAAACCATCAAAGTTATTAAAATCCTAACTAATTTTTTATTTACTGTCCTATGGAAGTCTGTTATATTATGTCAACATACCATCTTTTCCTACCTACAAATCGTGAACCAAAGAGGGGTGCTTACGGCTTCTGCGTATTTGAACACCTCAAAATATCAATACGGTGCTTAAAAAAAATTCTTGCTGAAGCGACCTTTGTCTCTAAGAATGTTTTAATACCATAGCAAAGTGACCCCAATTATGTGAGTAAAACATTTTTAGGACTGTAGGAGACTTAAATTTTATGGAGCTATGTGATAATAAAAAAGGATAAGGGGCATTGCATTTTAGCTCTGGGACATTAATATGCTTAATAAAATAAAGATGACTAAGATGCTAATGATATAAAAATTAAGTCTATGACTGGGATAATGAACAGAAGAACATTGCCTAATCTGATTGTATTCATGATGGTACTTGCCAAAGCACTTTTATCATCAAGATAACTTGCTAACACACCTGTTTCTTGTAACAATTCTGTATTTTAGGTAAGCTGATTCTGGAATCAGAAGATGAGAGTAAGAAAGCAATAGTGGATAAATAATTCATATTCTTACTGATGCTAAAGTGAAACAAAAAAAACAAAACACATAGCAAAATACCCATGGCAACATGGGCTCAAGAGAAAGCACTATTTCCATTCCATTTTCCTGTCACACTCTTAAATTTTGCCCACACCTTACCTTCATGATATTTTTGGTCTCTGTATTTTAAAAAATTTCTTATTTGCAATCATTTTTATCAGGTAAAATACATGAAAATTTAAATCAAATGTGAAACGTACAAATCAAAGCCTGAAGCCCACTGAAAGTTTTAGAATAAGTAAGAGAGCTTCAAGAAAGATGATTCATTTGACATTGCCACCATTATCATTATTCTTGAATAGAGCAGGTGTTCTGACACTGGACCCAGGCAGGAGGAAACATAATTCCATTATATATCTTGTTCTTACTAATTCATAATAAAGATAGAAATCCTGACTCTACCATAAACTACTTGTGTGGCCTTAAGCCAGTGTTTAATTTCTCTATAATCTGTAAACTAGTATGCTTATTATAAAAGATTGTTTTCAGACATTTTAAAATAATTCATAAAAAGTGTTATCACAACATGAAGATCACGTGATACACTCCGTAAATATTAGCTCTTATTAACATTTCATTATTAATAGTATAAATGTGAGGCATTAGTTTT